GGTATACCATCTATTCCTGGGGCCTTATTTTTTGCTATTTCCTTCAAAGCAGCTTGAACTTCTTCCTTCATCACCATAGGCTCTTGCTCATATGTTATTTAATTAAATTCTTCTGTATCTGAGAACCATATAATCTTAGCAACTGATGGGAGGGGAAAAGCATTTGACAAAATACCACTACCTTTATGATTAAAAGACTCTACAAATTGGAATAGAAGATAATTTTCTCGAGTGGAAAGTACATATGCAAAACAAAGAGCTAACATCATTCTCAATCGAGGGAAAACTAAAAATATTTTGCTTGCGAACAGGGACCAGACAAGGATGCCTATTATCACCACTTTTATTCAAGATTATATTGGAAGTACTTGCTAGGGCAATACCACAAGAGAAAAAATAAAAGGCATTCAGATTGGCAAAGAAATGGTTAAACTGTCACTACATGCAGATGATATGATAGTGTACACAGAAAAACAATAAGGACTCAACAAAAAAACTGTTAGAGCTAGTGGACCAGTTTAGTAGGGTAGCAGGATATAAGACCAATACGCAAAATTAGTGAGATTCCTCTAGTAACAAAGAAAACTCAAGAGAAAGAAACCAAGAAAGCAATACCATCTGTAATAGCCTACCACAAATTGTGACACTGGGGAATGAACCTAACTAGAGACAAAAAAGACCTGTACAAAGAACAGAATAGAACATTTCTGTGAGACACAGTAAAAGACCTAAGTAAATGGAAAACTCTGCCCTGTTCATGGACAGGAAGACTCAATATTGTGAAAATGACAATCCTACCAAAAGAAATTTACATGTTCAACACAATCCCAATACAAATACCAAATTCATTTTTCAAGGAGATCAAAGGGCAATTCATGAAGTTTATTTGGAGAGTAAAGAGAACCCAAATAAGCAAAGAACTTCTGAAAAAGAAAATGAAGTGGAAGGCATAGCATTTCCTGACCTCAAAACCTTCTCCTAGACAGCGATAGTAACCAAAACAGCTTGGGACTGGTACAATGACAGACACATAAACCAATGAAACAGAATTGAGAATTCAGAAATAGACCTCTTTATCTATGGTCAACTGATATTCGACAAGAAAATAAAACCTATCAAATTTGGAAATGACAACCTCTTCAACAAAGGGTGCTGGAAAGCTGAAACAACATCTCATACCATACACAAGAATCAACTCAAGGTGGATCAGAGACCTGGGAGATAAGGCCAAAATCATAAAGTTCATTAAAAAAAAAAAGACAAACTGGGTCCAAGCTTAGAAGGTCTAATCTATGTATAAAAAGAAACTGAAAATAAAGCCAGAAATGCACAGTGTGTAGAGGATAAAATTTATGAATGGGACTTTTTAAAGATTAAATCTCTATGCCCACCAAAAAACACTTCTTCCAATACAGTGGAAAGAAAGCCTACTGGTTGAGAAAAAAACCATTTGACAATACCATCTCAGACAAGGGATATCATTAGAAAGTTTAGAAAATACTATTGGACCTCCAGAAGTAAAATACTGATAATTGCACGATTACAAAATAGGCAAAAAAGCAAGAAAAGACTTTTCATAGAGAAAGACATTCAGATGGCTACAGATACATTAATAAATGCTCAAAATCACGGGCAAAGAGAGATGCAAATCACCCCCACAGTGAGATACCATTTCACCCCAGTAACACTGGCATAGTTTAGCACGACAGCATGTCATACAACCACTGTGGAAGGCAGTTTAGGGTTTCCTCAAAAAGTTGAGCTTAGAAACTCCATATGACCCAGCTATTCCTCTACAAGGAATATGCCCCAAATAATTTAGGTCTGAGACACAAACACAGATTTGTACACCAGTGTTCATAGTGGCATTATTTAACATCACAATAACATGGAAGTAACCCAAACATCCAACCACAGCTGAATGGATGGAGAAAGTGTGGTACATTCACACAATGGAATTCTGTGCAGAACTCAGCAACAAAAATTTCAAAAAAATACTACATTACTTAGGAAAGATTGCAGAGCATTAGCTGAGTGAACTGAGTTTCATAAGGACAAATACTGCATAAGACAGTTATAGTAAAAATGCAAGGAAAACTAATAAAACATGTATGGGAACCCAAGTGGGGAAGAAGTGGAAGCTGAGGGGTGAGGATGGGTACAGATGAAACCAGAGTTGTACAAGGAGATTGGAGGGAGGGATGGAAGGAAATGGGAATGACCTGGGTGAAAAGACAGAGTAATGATGGGCAAGGTCCAATGGTAATTAAATATATAAAACATAATGCAAGATGATTGTATGAAACTCAATCTGAATGAAAAATAGTGTAAAACACATGTATATAAACTTTATAACCAAATCCATTAAAAATCTCAAAAAAGTAGATAAAAAACTTGTCTAAGAAATAGATGTATGTAGATCTGCCTACCTACCTATTTAAAGTAAGTGTCAAAAAATTTATCCCTTTGGGTTAATGCATACACATAGAATGGCAATGCAAAAGTAGTAAATTACTGTAGAATGTGCTTACAAAACTTTTTTTCACTTAGAATAAAACATATCTATATTGAGAGCTTTCAGGAGAAAAAATAAAGTATGGTAGACTATAAGAAGAGTGAAGGTATAACATTTAAAATATTAATAAATATTGTGTACAGAAATAGCATTTGTAGGAATAATTAGTGTTACCATGTCTATTGATAAAATAATATTAATGGGCTTTCATGTGTAACTTTTCAGATTCATTGCCTTTATACCTTTTTATTAGTATTTTATTTTTAATGTATTTTAAATTTTTATCTAAAACTACATAAAACCGTGTTTATGAAAGACAATATAAAAATGCACATATATTACTTTTATAAAAATAGTAAAGGGAATATGAGACACAACAATTAGCATTTTCTGTGCATAAAATATTGTACCATTGCAGATTCTATATATCTTTTATTAAAAGATTTATTATCTCTGTTAAAAGCCATTTTTAAAGTAAATATAGAAGTAGTAAGACTAATCACAATTAGCACATTCATAGGAGAGTTTATTTAATTGCTGTAAACTTCTACACAGCCAGATCTCAATTGCACCTACCTATTCTTTTATGTACTTCCTCTGATCTGCATTGCTGGGGGGGGGGAATGTGGACAATACATTCAAATGTGACAGTGTGCAGTTTGAGAAGTCCTATTCAGTACTTACATATATTATACAGTTATCTATTAAGTAACTTCTATATTTTTCACAGAAAAAGAAAAGATTACTCATTGATCCCTTAGATAGTTAAAGGGAATCTTAAAGTTATTTTTCACAGGTGCTTCTATAATTGCAGTATGCTAGTAGGCCACCATTTTACTGAAAATGTTAATCGGGGAAAAACTAATTTTTAAGTCTTTCTTATAATATGGAAAACAAATTATTTTTTAAATAGCTGATTAAAGACTTATTGCAGCCTTTTCTGAAGAGCTTGAAGAGGTCTGTGCTAATTTAAATTTCATTTGAAAGAAGTATTTCTTCTCTGTTAATTTACCTCAGAATTGGACAGAAACTTCCACAAAAGTTCAGTGTTTTAGAGCCTAACTCATTATTTATATTTTTCTTTGAGTGATCCTTTTTCTCAAAAGGAACGTTTGTTTAAATAGAGATCTAAGCCACAGTAAACATAAATGTAAACCAATAAACAAAGATCAATTCTACAAGAGGCTTCAGGGAATGAAATGTTTTGTGATGACCTCTGGATTTTCCATACTGTTAAGAGTAGTAAAGAGGCAACAACAACAAAAATATTAGACTGCATAATTATTTCCTATTAAAGTCTACTTTGAATCCCAATTCTAATCAACATTCCTTGTAAAATTGAATTCTTTCATCCTTCCCAGTCCAAACTTAGTGTTAATTTTCAGTAATAGTTACTGATATATTTTCCAAAAGATCATTTAAGTTGGACTGTGAAGCAGAAAAGACCAAATACAAAACACTTAGATTCTTTGATAAGCATGTTTATATGCCAGGTCTCCAGAGTTCACATATACCAATATTAACCTGAGATTAATGGGTTATAGAAGAATCCTAGAGAAAATAAATTATGTGTAAAGGCAATTTGGAAAGATTTTTCTTATTAAGCAAAAGATAATAACTTTACATGGTGTACACAAGCCTCGTAGTAAATTTCAAATCCCTTCTAAAATAAGTTTTTCTTTTGGTTAGTTGGTTTGTTTTTCCCAGTGTTGCTGCTGTTAAATACCGTCAAGCTGGTTCCAGCTTACAGCAATTCTGTGTTGTTGTTGTTGTGTGCCATCGAGTCGCTTGCGATTCATAGCGACCCTATGCACAACAGCCCTAAACTCTGCTCTGTCCTGTGCCAATCGCACCATCTCCAACACACACCCCAGTCACTGAATCAATCCACCTCATAGGGGGCCTTCCCCTCCTGCGCTGTCCCTCCTCCCTCCCAAGCATGATGTCCCTCTCCAAGGACCTGTCCCTCCTTGCAACATGTCCAAAGTATGTTAGACTGAGCCTTAGCATCCTTGCCTCCAAGGAGCAGCCCGGTTTGACCGGTTTTCCAGGATTAATCTGTTTGTTTTCCTACCAATCCATGGTTCCCTCAATACTCTTCTCCAGCACCACAGCTCAAAGGCATCAATTCTCCTTCTATCCTCCTTAGTCATTGTCCAACTCTCTGATGCATAACAAGTGATAGTAAAGACCATGGCCTGTATCGGATGCACCTTAGTCTCTAAAGAGACACCATTGCTCTTCAATACTTTGGAGAGGTCCCTAACAGCAGACTTTCCCACGTCTAAGAAAACAAAGACTGCCTAGTCCTATACCATCTTCACAAGAAAAATTAATTTTGTTTAGTTGTAGATCAACTTCTTTACTGCCTCTCCCCTAACCACATCTGATGCTCTGCTCTTGTTTTCCAGGTGCCCAACACCAGGCTGCGATGGATCAGGTCATGTGACTGGAAACTATGCTTCCCACAGAAGGTAGGGCTAGCTCCTTTTCTTTATGCATATGAGTACATGAACAGCAGTAATAAAACCAGATCAGATGGAATTTTTTTCCTCATTGTTGGGAAACTCTTTCAGCTTATCTGGCTGCCCTCGTGCCAGGAAAGGTGGTGTCAAGATGACCCCTACCAAGGATGACAAAGAAGACCCGGAACTTAAGTAAGTGCAGCTGTGAAGTCTATGACGTCATGGAGTTCTTTGCCTTATTGGTTAAATGGGAGGGGAACAGAGAAGGTGCATGTCTAAGCTGGGATGCAGTTTGTCATTAATTTAATTTCAGAGACATTGTACACTATGGAAAAAAAAAAGTACCATTGAAGCAAGAGTGAGATTCCTTTGGTGATAGAGGAAATTTTCCCATTTCTAGCTGTTTTCATAGTTCTTTAAATAATGCAAATGTAGGAGGAAGATGAGCAGTCTCTTGTTCAATTTACTGCCTCTGAAAACCTACCGAAGGATCAACTGAGAGTCAGTCATATTCAGTGGTACATAACAACAATAGCATTAATAATGTTATTATTAATGTTAATAATGGAAAAAAAAGAAAAGAAGAGGAAAGTTTTAGACTTTTCTGGTAGTGCTAAAGGAAAGTTTCATTATGGAAATGGTGCAGAACACCAAATATGGCAGCACTTATGCCTGAAACTTTGATTTTGCTCAAAATACCTCTGCAGAGGCATATGCTACTAAATGTTGGTCAATATTTCACAGGTATTAATTTGTAAATTGAAACCATTTGTTTGACAAAAATTCTAAGCATAATATTTACATATATGGAAGCCAGAATTCCATTTTTATGAGCAATTTTTCTCTGTAGTTTTGAACAAGAAAGTAGTATTTGATCTCCCTGCTTACTGTTTGGAGGCAAAGTAGCCTAATGCTTAACTGGTCAGGTATAGCACCATCAAGTCTGAGCACAAACAGCCTGGCTCTATTTTTGTAGAATAATAAATTACTTGAGATCTATCAGCTTAATTTTTTACATCTTTAAATTGAAGTAACTGCAGTCTCCACTCAGTGTTGTGGTTGTTAAGTGCCACTGAGTATACTAGGACTCATGTTGTTGTTATTGTTGTTGTTGTTGCTGCTGCTGCTGCTGATATGTGTCATCAAGTCACCTGTGACCCATAGTAACCTTATGTACAGCAGCTCTGAAACCTGTTCTGTCCTGAGCCAGTGTCACTAATTGTGACACACCAATCCCCATTGCCCCAGTTGTTGTATAAATCCATCTCACTGGAGGTCTTCCTTTCCTGCACTGTCCCTCCACCATTCTGAGCATGAAGTCGTTCTCCAAGGACTGGTCTCTCCTGGCCACATGTCCAAAGTATGTGAGACAGAGCTTCAAATTCCTAGCCTCCAAGGACAAACTTGGTTTCAACCCTATAAACAACAGATCTGTCCTATCCTGTCCTGTACCATCCTCACAAACTCTAGTACACTCAACCCCATTGCTGAAGTCACTGTGTCAATCCACCCAGTTGGGGCTCTTCTACTCCTTTGCCATCCCTCTACCTTTCCAAGCATGATATCCCTCACAAAGGAATAACCTTTCCTAATAACATGCCCAAGGTGTATGAGTTAAAGCTTCATCATTTTGCCTCCAAGGAGTACTCTGGCTGCACTTTCTCCAAGACATTTTTGTTTGTTCTTTTGGAAGTGCATAGGATATTCAGCACTCTCAGAAATAATCTTTAGAAAGGAAAATTTGGTGAGTTAGTGGCAAGAAGCCGCACTGCAGTATTGAAGGTGCTCAGTTTGAATCCACCAGATGCTCCATGGAGAAGGAGGGGGAAATCTCCTCCTTTTCCAGTCAGATCTGATTTACAGTACACAACAAAGGGGGGCAGTGGAATCCTCTTTAGAACAGGTTTGAAGCATTAAGCACTGATGCTAGAAGACCAGATGAGATACTGGATGACATTAATGATATTATCCATGAAGAGAGCAAAAGATCACTGGGGGGGGGCGGAGCAGAGGAGAAAGAAAAATCAAAATGGATGTCAGAAAAGACCCTGAAAATTGCACTAGAGCATTGAGAAGCCAACTCAAAGGGAAGATAAGTTGTAATAAGAGAGCTGAACAGATTTCAAAAGGCAGCTTGGAAAGTAAACTACCATAACAAAGTGTTCAGAGACCTAGAATTGGAGAATAAAAAAGGAAGAACTTGTTAAGCATTTTTCAAGATGAAATAACAGAAAAATAAATTCATGCCTCAATTTGCAATGTGTAGAGATGCTATGAGCACAATTTTGATTGATCCAGAAACATGAGACCAAGATGAAGAGAATATACAGAATCACTGTGCCAAAATGAATTGGCTGACATTGAAATATTTTAGGAAGTACCATGTGACCAAGAAGCAATGGTAATGAAGGAAGAAATTCAAGCTGTACTGAAGGACTTGGTAAAGAGTAAGGTCCCAGGAATGAAAGTAATATCAATTGTCATGTTTCAAATGATAGATGTAGCCCTGGAAGTGCTCACCAATTATGCTAGGGAATTTGGAGGACATTTACCTGGCCAACTGACTGAAAGAGATCCATGTTTGTTCCCATTCCCAAGAAAGATGATGCAACAGACTATGACATTATCAAACAATATCATTAATATCACTTATAAGAAAAATATTGCTGAATATCATTCAAAAATAGTTACATTTCATAGCGAACTTTCAGAAATTTAAGGTGGATTTAGAAGAGGCCATCGCATATTATTGCAAATGTCAGATGGATCCTGGCTAAAAGTAAAGACTATCAGAAGAATGTCTACTTGTTCATCATTGACTATACAGACACGTGTGACTGTCTGGATCATAACAGATTACGGATAACATTGAGAAGAATGGGAATTCCAGAACACTTAATTGTTTAAGTAAACAATATGGTGAAACCTATACCTAGACTTTACTTGGTAGGTCTGTAGTAAAGATTAAATTTGATTGTATGTGAAAACCCTTTCACTTAGAGCCTTCAGACCATCAATGCCCCTTAATTAGCTGTATTTGTGTACTTCCAATAAACCATAAATTCACAAGTTGCCTTTTGGTTCATACATTGTAGTCTTCTTCTCATATTACTGGGCTTCATATTTAGAATGAGTGAAAACTATCTAGCATTTCCTAGAATTAATGCGTCCACTGTGTCTATCTAGGTGTCCTGTGATAGGCTGTGATGGCCAAGGTCACATCTCAGGTAAATACACCACCCACCGCACAGCTTCTGGCTGTCCTCTGGCTGCCAAGAGACAAAAAGAGACTCATCTCAATGGGGCTTCTCTCTCCTGGAAACTCAACAAACAAGAACTGCCCCATTGCCCTCTGCCTGGCTGCAATGGTCTGGGACATGTCAATAATGTTTTTGTCACTCACAGAAGGTAATGTTTGTTTTCTATCCTTTATTATTTTTTCTATCATTGTTTGTGATTTGGATTTGTAACAAAGAAAGAGTCATCTGTTTAAAAGAAAAGAGCTTTATCATGGCTTGGTGCAATTTGAACCAGGGAGTTGCATGGAATACAAGAAATGAAATCAAGCATATGTTGTTGTTGTTAAGTGCCATCGAGTTGTCTGTGACCCCCATGTACAATAGGTTAAAATCGGCTCTATCCTGAGCCAGGCTTACTGTCTCCAACACACTTATCCCCATTATCCCAGTTACTGTGTCATTCCTTCTCATCCTGGGACTTCCTCTCCTGTGCAGTTCCTCCACCCTTCCGAGCATGATGTCCTTTTCCAGGGACTGGCCTTTCTGACCACATGCTTAAAGTATGTGAGATGGAGCTTCAAAATCCTTGCCTCCAAGGAGCAGCCTGATTTCACCCTTTCCAGTATAAAGCTGTATGTTCAATACTCCTCCAGCACAACGCAAAGGCATCAATCCTTCTACCATTTTTTATCATTGTCCAGCTCTCTGATGCATAGAGAGTAGTTGTGAAGATGATGTTCTGAATCAGGTGTATTTTATTCTCTATACCAACATCTTCGCTCTTTATGTTTTTGGAAGAGTTAAATCAAGAGTTTTAGTTTGCAATATTTTGGTTGGATAAAGGCACACAATTAAAGAAATGAGAAGCCACACATCTCAGAGAAGGGCTTTTGCTGAGATCAATTTATAAAATCAGGGAGTAAATATATGATTGCAAAATATATCTACTTTAAGGACATTTTTATGGTAATCATCATTATGTCACAAGATGTTTCTCTCAGTCATAGATATGAAGATACAACGTCGTTGTTGTTGTTGTTATGTGCCATCAAGTCGCTTGTGACTTATAGTGACCCTATGTACAACAGCCCTAAACTCTACTCTATCCTGTGCCAATCGCACCATCTCCAACACACCCATCCCGATTACTCCAGTCACTGAATCAATCCACCTCATAGAGGGTCTTCCCCTCCTGCGCTGTCCCTCCACCCTCCCAAGCATGATGTCCCTCTCCAAGGACCAGTATCTCCTTACAACATGTCCAAAGTATGTTAGACGGAGCCTCAGAATCCTTGCTTCCAAGGAACCACCCGGTTTGACCCTTTCCAGGATGAAACTGTTTGTTTTTCTAGCAGTCCATGGTACCCTCAATACTCTTCTCCAGCACCACAGCTCAAAGGCATCAATTCTCCTTCTGTCCTCCTTAGTTATTGTCCACCTCTCTTATGTATAAAAGTGATAGCAAAGACCATAGCCTGTATCAGATGCACCTTAGTCTCCAGAGAGACACCATTGCTCTTCAGTACTTTGGAAAGGTCCCTAACAGCAGTAGGCACACATTTTCCTGATATCCTCTTGTGCTGAAACTTTTGTCAAGACTTTTGTCTTAAACATTTTTAAGGTCCTTTTCTAGTTGAGTACAACTCACAGCAACCTGAACAAAAGGCCTGAAGCTTTTCTATAACTATCAACTTTTATCTAAGTTCATAGTTTCAGAAGGCATGTTGTTTAGGAAGTGGATGCCACTCGCGCTTCCAATGCTTAATGAACTTAAAATGGAGACTGAATTGATGTCAAGATTAAGAATTAGAATTAAGGACCTAGCTGTAGACCACAAACCAACTGCCTCAGAATTTTACTTTCATACATTACCTTCTTTTGATCAAAAATATCATTTAAAATTATTTTATTACATGTCAACTGATGTACTTTATTATACATGGACTGGTTGATAACTCCTTTATATAACCATTTGTTTTAACACAAGTCTTTACAACTCATATATTACTATTTAGACAGTCAGGTACCATCTAAAGACTAAGTGTTTTAACATCTAGTACATTAGTATATCAGAATGAAAAAAAATATGTAACACCTGTCCTTAGGCTATATAAATTAAAAAGTGAGTATTCAAGAACAGCCATGGAATACATGGTATCTATAAGCATAATCAAAGGGAACTCTGGTGGCCTAGACTGTTAGAAGCTGTGGTGCTGACCTACAGGCCACATCTCTACTGGTTCAAATTCATCAGCAGCTCCATAGGCAAAAGTAGGCAGTTTGTTCCCATGCAATTCACAGCCTCTAAATCCAATAGAGAGTCAACTAAAACTCGTTTCCATTCAACGGCAATTAATTTTTTAGTTATACACATATTCTGCTTCATTAGTCAAATTTAATTAGATCCCATTACAAGTAATTTTCTCTGCAATTTGATAATTGATAAAATATCATTAAAATTAATAATAATATTTTAATAAACTCAAAACTCATTGCTGTGGAGTCAGAAACAACTCGTAGCTCACTCTCCAGTGAGTTTTTGGGGGACCCTAAATCCCACAGAAAGAGTTTACCCATCTTTCTCCTGCAGAGTCATTGATGCTGCCAAAAAAGATGCTGCCTTCAGGCTAGTGGTGCAATTCCCTAAGGACTACACACCAGAGCTCTCTAATCTAATTAGTTGTTGTTGTTATGTGCAGTGGACTCACTTATGACTCATAGTGACCCTATGTACAACAGCTCTGAACCTTGCTCTATCCTGAGCCAATCTTATTCTCTCTGACATACCTGCCCCCATTTTCACAGTCACTGAGTCAATCCATGTCATCGAGGGTCTTCCTCTCTATTTTATTTTATTTTTGTTTATACTGCTTTACATACAAAGTTCATATACATTGTTTTTTTACATCCAATATTTCCCCTTCCCTTTATCCATTCCTTCTTCCATCCATCAAATTGTGTGACCCTATAATTCCCTTTCCTCTCCATGGATCCTCATAATTGTTCTACAATAATGGTCTCATACAATATTTGTCCCCTTGGGACTGAGTTAATTCACTTAGCATAATGCCCTCCAATTCCTCCCATTATAGGTAGTAATTTATAAAATCATTTCTCCTGCGTGCTGCATAGTATTCCATTAAGTAAATGTACTATAATTTAACAACCCATTCCATTGTAGTTGGATTTTGGGGTGTTTCCATGTTCTTTCTATGGTAAGTAACACTGCTATGAACATTAGTGTAGAGGTCTCTGTTTCTGCCTCCATTCTTATTTTCTTGGGGTATATCTAAGCAGTGGAATATCTGGGTCATATGGAATTTCTATGTTCAGCTTTTCGAGGAAGCACCAAACAGCCTTCCAAAGAGATTGTACCATTTTATAATCCCACCAACAATGTTTGAGAGTTCTTATCTCACCATATCCTCTCCAATATTTATTACTTGCTACCCTGGCTTGCTTTGCCACTGCTACTGGGATAAGATGCTATCTCATTGAGTTTTTTATTTGCATCTCTCTTCTTGCTAGTGATTTAGATCATTTCTTCATGTGTCTGTTGGCCAAAAACTACAGAACATTTCTTTTGAGACACAATAAAAGACGTAAATAAATTAAAAGTATAGACAGAGAACTGTCAGAAATTCAAGCTGGGTTTAGAAGAGATCACAACACCACTGCCAATCTCAGATTGATCTTGGATTATAGCAGAGAATACCTGAAAAAAGTTTGTTTGTAAAAAAAAAAACCAAAACCAAAACGTTTCTTTCTGTTTTATTGACTATACAAAGGCATTTGACTGTGTGGATCATAACAAATATTGATTAACATTCAGAAGAATGGTAATCCCAGAGCATTTAATTGTGTTCATGTAAAACCTATACCTATGCCAAGAGGCTGTTGTGTGAGCGGAACAAGGAAACAATTTTAAGCCAAGGAACACCACATGGCTTAAAATTAAGAAAGTTCTGTGTCAGGGTATCTCTATTCCCTATTCAGTAGGTATCTGTTCAATAAGCATCTCCATATCTATCCAATCTGTCTGACCAAATCATTCAAGAAGCTGGACGATATTAATAAGAATGTGGCATCAGGATCAGAAGAAGTCTCATCTATCAATGATCTGCATTATATGACATTAGGGTTAGCACAAGAAAAATGAAGTAAGTTCATAGGCCTTCAGGTAGCAAATTCAAAGGGGTTGAGTTTTTTACTTGTCTAAAGTGTAGACCTGATAAGCCTGGGAGTCCAAGGCAAGACTAAATACTAACAAAATTTATCCAGTTGAGTTTTAATTATGTTGTTTATTCTTGCAATTGAACTGTGGATAATTTGAACAATGCAACCACTAGAAAATAGGGGAGGGAAAGGAAAGTGTAAATTTCCTGGATGACTTGATCATAAAATTAGTTCTCTGATTAAAAACTTGTACAATGACAGACAAATAGACCAATGAAACAGAATTGAGAGCCCAGAAATTAGATATGGTCAACTGGTCTTCAACAAGGAAACAAAACCTATCAAACAGAGAAATGACAACCTCTTCAACAAATGGTGCAGACAAAATTGGACCTCCACCTTCAGAAAGCTGAAGCAGGATCCATATCTCACATCATACACAAAGTATGGCTTTACAGTAAAGCACAAAACCACAAAGATTATAAGAGACAAACTTAGATGGCCTAGCCTTTACTCAACAAAAATCGGCAAATACAGCCAGAAAAGCACAAGGAGAGGATAACATTGATGTAATGGGACTTTCTAAAAATTAAGTAACTATGTGCACCAGTCGTTTTTGGATAATCTTGAGTAGAACCTTGCTTGCATGTGAAATCAATGATATTGTTCTGTAGTTTCCAAACTCTGTTGGGTCACCCTGCTTTGGAATGGGAACAAATATAGATCTCTTCCAGTCAGTTGGACAAGTGGTTGTTCTCCAGATTTCTTGGCACAACTTGGTGAGCACATCCAGGG